CCCCGCCCCCCCCCAAGTCCCTTTTCCCTTGGGTACCCGCAGGACACGGCGGGGCGAGGCCCCGGGGGGCCGGGGCTGCCTGCCTACAGCTCGTCGGCCGGGCTGTGGGTGAGCGGAGCCTCCTCCTGCACCCCGCTCTCCTCCAGGGCCTCCCCTGCGGGCAGGAGGCCGGCAGCTCCCTCCTCATCCTTCTGGCCCTTCTTCTTCTTCTTCCCGCTTTTTTTCTTGCTCTGCTTCTCCCCCACGCTTGCCGAGTCACCCTTCTTGCCAGTCCACTTCTCTGCCAGGCAGCCTGGGGAGGAGAGGGGGCCCTGAAGGAGAAGCGGGGCTCCCCGCGCCCCGTCGGGGCTCCCCCGCCCTCCCCTGCAGGCCCACGCTGCCCCCGGCAGCGGCCAGCACTTACTGGTGTCCTTCCCTTTTAGCACGTGGTCGGCGCAGAGAAACTGGGAGAGATCCTCCGTCTGGTGGTGCCGGTACCAGTCCTCGATCACGTCTTCGTACTCCTCCACCAGCACGTCGCACTGGCGCAGAGAGGAGAGCCGAGCTCCAGCCACGCGCCGCCAGGTCCTGCCGACACCCCCGTTGCCGGCAGCGCACCCCCGGACCCTCCCTCCCCCTGTGCTCCAGCCCACAAGGCCACGGCAGCCACTGAGGGCCGATCCCACCAGGCCGGGTACCTGCTTTTTGAGGTCAGCCACCTCAGCGGAGGTCTCGTTCCACAGCTCGTAGGGGATGTCCATCACCACCTTGACGCCCTTGTGCACCAGGTTGTGCAGGGTCTCGAAGGTCTCCGACATGCCCTGGGGGAGCAGCGCTGCCCGGTGAAGCGCCGCTCCTCCCGCCGGGCTCCCGCTCTCCCCTCCCGGCGCCGGCCGCACGACCCTGCCCAGGGACGCAGGTACGCGCAAGCCAGCCAAAATCAGGGTTCCCCGGGGCATCAGCGTTACCAGGAGAGCATTCAAATCCTGCTCTGCAAACCCGCTCCCAAAAAACAACAGGAAGACACGGGCCGGGCTCCCTCCATGCAGGCCACCCCCACAAGGGCAGCGCCCCACACCTGACTTGGGGGGCAGCGTGGCCTTACATGCTGGGTGCCGGCAGGGGACCCAGGGGATGGGAAGAACAGACCCCGGTTCGGCGCCCCGGCAGCACAGAGGTGAGCGACGGACGCTTGGGAGCAGGGGACTGGAGGACAGCCCTCACCTTTGCGAATCTGTTACTGCCGCTCCTCTCCTTGTGCAGGTTGTAATCCAACAGCCGCTTGCAGATGTTCTCCGTCACCTCGATTAACCGGATGTCCCTGCACGGAGAGGAGGGAGGGCTCGGACTCGGCACTGCCCCCCAAGAACAACCAGGGCACAGGGCGAGCCTCGGCCCTGCCGATGCGGTGGAGGAGCGCTCTGCGGCTCCCCCAAGCCGAAGGAGCATCCCCCGGCCGCCCTGCCCCGCCCGCCCCACCAGCCCTGGCGCGGTTCGGTTTTCCCAGAGGAGCAGTGCGCGGTGCAGCCTGCCTGCGGGCTCCCGAAGCCCCCGGCTCTGCAGACCATGGGCAGCGATCGCGGCAGGAGACCACCCGTCCCACGCTCACTTACGACTGCGTGTACTTGACGGCAGAGCCCTTCCCGTCCAGGAAGCCATACTTGGTGTCAATCACTTCCTTGGTCTTGCCAGTCTCCTCAAAAGCGGATTTCAGCTCCACCGCCACATACTTGCACACTGCAGGAAGGTAAAAAACACAGGTGGGTTAGGGGGGGTCTCGCTGCTCTGATGGGCAGCGCGACACAGTGCCTGGGGAGGGGACAGTGGCAGAAACAGGCGCCAGGAGTCAGGCACAGTAGAGCCGCTGTGAGCAAAAAAGACGCCTCGGCCATTCAAAGAAATAACCAGGAATGGCTCAACTGATTCCACGGGCGATCCCTTGAAGCAGAAACCCCCGAATTAATGCTTTGGTGTAAGCGCATCCGCGCAGCCAGCTGCTACAGCACAGCTGGGAAGGCAGACGGCACCAGTTCTGCCTGAGTTCTGCCTGCAGGTGTCCCGACAGCTCCGCTTCGCAGCCACCAAAGCCTCTGCCTCTGCGCCACGAGCCGCTCCCTTCCTCCTGGAAGAGGATGGGGTCTTTTTGCAACGCAAGCCCCGGCGTGGGTGACAGCTCCTCCTCGTGACACCAGCACATCCCACCCGGTGATGGTTCCCCCAGCGCCCTGGGGAGACGGGGGCTGCACTGGGGACCGAGCAGCCAGCAGGGTGCGGCGGGCCGGGTGGCAGGGCAAGATGCTGGCTGCGGACTGTGCCACCGCATGAGGGGCTGTGAGCTCCAGCAACACCGCACGGGGCACCGCCTGCAGCAGAGACCACAGCACCAACAGCTTTATAACGCAGCGTGTGTTTTCTTTTATAAAATGAAAAAAAAAAAAGAAACAAAAGCTTTATTTCTTCTGTAACAAAGAGTCCGACAGAGCTATAGAAACAGAGAGCAGGAGAAGAGAAACATCTTGGGGGTTTACACGTGGAAACGTGGAGGGATGAAAGCCAGGCACGGTGTGGCCCTTCCTCCCCCGAAACCGGCATCCCGGGAGGCTGGAGAAAGCTTTGTCCTGTGCTGCAGGCTCTGTTTGCTGGGAGCCATCTCGTCTTTGAGCCCCGCTTTAGGAGAAGGTCCAAGCCCCAGCAGGGACGGTCTGACAGCGAGGAGCCACTGCACCTTCTCCCAGGCAATGACGTGAGCGGCAAGACGTGCCGCAGGCAGGAAGAGAGCGGGGCGGCTTCTCCAAGGTGGCCGTGCGCGTGCCGAGAAGCGCAGCGCGCACCTCCTGCGCTCTCCTTACTCTGCTGGCACCAGGGGCTGGAGGTGACCGCAGCCGTTTCTCGGGTGGGACGAGCGCTCCTTCCCGCAGCCCCTCTGCACTCGAGGACGTCCCTCTCCGCGCCACACCTGCTGCAGCGTCCCCAGGCGCGCCGGGAACGCTCGCTGCTGGGTCCCGTTATCCCGGCGCTGCCCGCGGCTGTCGCCGCGCACCGAGGCGGGGTCCGGGCCTGGGCGGGAAGAGGAGCGGCGCGCGGTCAGCGCTCGCTACGGTGCTTCCCTGAGGTGATGGGGGTGCCGCAGCGCGGCCGGGACATCGGCGCCTCCAGAGCTGCTTCCCCGGCAGGGAAAGCTTTGCAAAGAGCTCCGGAGTTTGATTTCTTCCTTTTCGCTTTGCTGCCGAGCTCCGCATGTCCCTGCACAGCAAAGACAGAGGAAACCACGGCAGACGGCAGGGGTCCGTCGCGACCTGCCCCGGTTTGCCGGTGAAGCCTTTGATCGCCGGGGGCTGCTCCGGGAGGGCGCAGCACTGAGGCCTGCCAGCCGCG